GGCGCTCGGCTTTCAAGCCACCAACCAAGCATCTCAATGCATGATGGCCCAAAAATCAAGCTTGTACAAGCTTAGTGAATACACAAACAATACACAAAGAGCCTCCACCCCATCATGCATGATCAAGGGTGTTGGCGACCAAGAAATGTGACACGTTTCATCACTTCATGTATGAAACGTCCCACATTTCTTGTTTTTGGATTAACGTCCAATCTAAACACATGCAATGCAACACAAATGCTTATCTTGCACATGTTTTACTTGGTCCATTTCTTATTTACTCATTTTACATTACCAAACCATTCTTTACTTGATTTGGTCCAAAGTGATTATCCTCTAATGGGAGAGGCGTTAACCAAAAGAATGGTTTAAGGCATGAGAGAGATCATGCCTTTGGCTAGGAGGAATCCTCATAAGAGGGTTAAAGCCATTTGAGCACAAACTCTATCAAGCTTAAACATAAGCACAAGGTAAACCAACCCTCAAAACAAATCAAAAGTGAAGAAATGTGGGAGATGGCAGATATTTCAGTGCTAAAGTGGCACGAAAAAAAATACAACAACATGCAAACAACACATGCACATTGAAACTAGTGTAGGACACAACACTAGAGGCATGCGATACAATGCTCAAATGGCCAAATCAGCCCTAGACAGACCTTAAACAAATCTGAAATGGTAGCATGAAAAGCAAGAGAGACATGCTCGTGTATTGGCTCATAAACAAGGCACAAAGCACACCTCTCAAAAGTAATGAAAGTGTGGAATATGTGAGAGTGTCACAAGGCTGCATGCACTGAAATCATGTATGAAATGATGCTATGACATGCAAACAACTCAAGCAAAGCATGTTAGGGGCCTTAACTCACAAAGCTAGTAAAGCCAACTACACCACAGCTATACAAAGCAAAGCATATATGACCGAGACCACCCAAAACAGAGTTAAAGCATAGCAAATCAGTAGCAAAAATGTGTTGGAGCTAAGCTAACCCAAGCTAGAATGATAAACTAACTCATTAGGGATTCAAGGCTAATAAGCATGATTGCACTACAAGTACAAAAAACAAGCAAGAATTGACCCAACCAGCCAAAAACAGAGTTAAAGTAGGTCAAAATAAAGCCTAAAACATGCTTGAACTAAGCTTCAAAAAGGGAGAAATAGAAGCTCACTTATTAGGCCATCAACACATGCAAACAAAACACGAGGAGGGGAGGCCACCCCCTCCTATTTGGGACCTCAAAACCAACTTTCTACCACTGAAAGGGCAAAAAAGAATTGTTTTAAAAGCTTTAGAGAATGGCACAAAGCTTAGGAAATAAACTACAAAAGAGGGTGGACCACCCCTAACTCCAAAGGGGCTTCAAACTACCATTTTTAACACTTAAAAATATAGGTTTTTGTAGTTGACAACAAGATCAAAATAGCATGCAAAGGTGGCCCAAACTAGTGTACAAAAACAAGCTTAAAAGGGGTAAAGCCTTACCTTTGAAGCACAGTAGCTAAGAAGCAACTTCTGAGCCAAAAACCAACCTTCAACAGCCCAAATAAGACCTTCAAGCACCTCAGCAACAAGGTAGTCTAAGTTGGCTAAGAGGTTGTGTGTAAAAATGCAAAGAAAGCTCACTTTCAAGCACAATATATATATATATATATAGAGAGAGCGAGTTCTAGAGAGAGAGTAAAATTTTGCTTCCAAAATTTCAGAACACTCAAAAAGGGGGAGGGACCTCTCCTTATATAGAAATACAAGCCTAAGGCTTGTTTCCATCCCTCCATACACGTGTATGGAGGATGGCTTCAGTGACCAATAGCTGGCACACAAAATATCTGAAAAAGGAGAAAATTGGTCGTCGGCCACTTCAGGTGGCCGACTGGCCACCTCCCCTAGCCGATTGACTATTTCAAGTGGTCGACAAGAAGGAAAAGTGGTCGGCAATAGTCAAAAGTGGCCGGCTCGCTTCCAGGCAAGAGGCGCCAAGGTTTGGCCCAAAACAAAGCCAAAACACAAAGAGTTTAGAGGCCCAGAGACAAGGCGCTCAACCGAGACCTTCGAGCGCTCAAAACAATCACAAACATGCGCAATCATCGAGTGCACAAACGATGACGTCAAAGTCTTGAGGTCGGTCAAAAGTGGGGTGTCTACAATCATCTAGTTCAACAGGTGATTAGAAATGTCTCAGACTGAATAAAAACCCGAAAACAAATTCGGCAGGAAGTATCTTATATGTGTTATGTTTCATTAATTGAACCTAAGTGTAACGCCCTGAAAATACTTGCTAAGGTACACAACAATAACAAGATCAATCAATCCAAAATAACTCATCTTTCCCATTGAACTAAAAGTTAATCGATTACAATTTAATAAATACGTTCCCACGTTGTCCAAATCCGTTTTTCAATTCATTGAACTAGATGACATAACAAAATATAAGCCCCTTAAGCGTACAACATCACTAAATACATGAGGTAGTTCTGTTACAAAAGTCCTGAATGTTAAAACTACTAATCTATCCCTGGCTTCACTTTTCCCAAAGAGGCTAATGCTTGATCCGACCCATCAACGAGGTTGTACTTCATCAAGTCTTGAAAAATAAATTAGGGTTGAGCTATATGCCCAGTAGAAAGACATTTATCCAGGTATCTAACCCCTTGAACAAAATTATGGCATCCATGTGATAAAATAACACAATAAAATTCATTTCGCAAGTGCATTCCACATTTCACCAAGAACATTTATAATCTAATACAGATAAATTCAAATAGTGTCATCATGTTAAAAAATTAAACATCCACAACCATGAAATCAAATCACATACATTCTACCACATGAGTCCAATTAAGAAGAACCATTTCATTTACTCTGAAAAACAACCCCCACATTTGTCGACTACTATATGGCGGGAGGTGGGCACCCTAAGGAAAACCATCCGTTTTTCCACTTTCGCCGGCTATTATACGGCAGGACTGTGTGGACACCCAAAAATATTTTCCCACATTCGTCCAACGATAAGCCTAGGCAGGGCATTTGGGCACCTTTTTAACTCCCTGTGCGGGTACCAACACAACACCACATTTACTCACCCCCGACTCACACTTGGACTCATACATGTTCAACAACTATACCACATATCAATCCCACAATTAAACACCACACATAATCACATTTGAATATCACATATTATTCAAAGAACTATAACATTCAAGTCACCATTTCCTTAATTACATCAATATTCACATTTTCATCCCTCCAATTGTTCATCAAATTTCATGAATCAAGTGAAATTTCCATTATCTTGAGTATTTTCTAACCAATTGGGAACTTAGGGTTTCCGTAAATTTTTGCGGGTTTCTACTCCTTGTCACAAATCTAGTTCTTAGCCATATCTACACTTATGTTAGAGAGAAAAATTTAGGGATTCCAAGCAAAATATTAAGTAAATGAGTAATTATGTGAAATGTGGGTTTTGTTTAACAAAATCTTCAATTAGTTTAACTAAATCTTCAATTAGTACCCAATCACACACAATACCATAAAATTTCTTCAAGAATGAAGAGATAACAAGAATAAAAGTATCCTTACCTCAATTATCAAGCCAAAATTCAAGCTCCTTCACGAATCTATCACAAATCCCCAATCCAATCGGAAGATAATGCTATTCTTCAAGTGTTCTTCGTCCCTAACCAACAAATTTGGGTGGATTTCAATAGTAAGGAAGGTACATGATGATGGAGATCTAGGGTTTCATGGGAGAAGGAAGAGGAGATGAAGATAGAACCAAAGAAAAAATGGGAGAAAGATCTAGAATCACTAGGTTTAAAAAGTTGTTAACGCGTTCCCCGCTCGAGCATGACTTTCTACGCTCGAGCGTCCAAATACGATCAAGAAGTCCCGCTCAAGCGACAACTTCTTCGCTCGAGCGAAGAAAGAAAAGTCTCAAAAGTTTTGCAGTGCTACAGTGTAATTACTGGATGCTAACATTTCATGCTCGAGCGTGACATCCCACTCTCGAGCGGACACGCCTGAAATGCAAAAAAGTGCTGGGAGCAACAATTCCACGCTTGCCGCTTGAGCGGACCCAAAAAAAAAATGTCACAATCTTTTGCCCTTAAGAAATTTCGCCTCTGAAATTGTTTTATATCTCCCACCTGATGTAACAAATGGCAATATCAACTAAACGAATATAAGTTCACATATTCTAGCTTTCTACCATCTTTATTACACCACCCGTTAGTCTTTAAGCATTCCACAAGTAATCAACACGCATGAACATATATATACACTTCCATTTGGACACATAACTAATAGTAGAGAAATATCCACAAGAAATTTGCTTACTCTCAATACAATCACAAGTCAAGGCAATGCTAGTACATTTATAATTCCACCACAATCTCCAATTTAAGCATGATGTTACTTCCACTTAAGGTCGAAAACAAAGGGAATATAACAACTTATAGCCCACACTTAATCACACTAAATACCCAAGAAAAGTAAGGAAACTAATACATCACGGATTTGAAAATAATTCAGGATATTTTTCACGAACTTTGGCTTCTCGTTCCCATGTCGCTTCCTCCACACCATGATGATACCACAACACCTTAACTAGTGGAATTGTCTTACCTCTCAACACTTGTTCTCGTGTATCAAAATTTGGATTGGCTTGTCCTCGTAAGATACATCACCGTTTACTTCAATTTCCGTCCAATCTAACACATGAGAGGGGTCGGGTTCATACTTACGGAGCATAGACACATGAAATACATTATGGACTCCTGAAAGTTGAGGAGGTAATGCAAGATGGTACGCCACTTGCCCAGCCCATTCGATGACGTCAAAGGGACCAATAAACCTTGGTGATAATTTTCCACTTCGGCCAAACCTCATCAACCATTTTCTAGGGGAGATCTTCAGAAACACATGATCACCGATCTCGAAGGATAAGGGTCGTCTCCTCCTGTCTATATAATTCTTTTGCCGGCCTTGAGCTGTGACTGACCTTTTCTGAATGAGGGCTATTTTCTCGGTGGTTTCATGGACTAGATCTGGGCCTAACAAAGGTGAATCTCCCACCTCAATCCAACATACCGGTGATCTACACAGACGCCCGTACAATGCCTTGAAGGGTGCCATTCCAATACTTGCTTGGAAGCTGTTATTATACCCAAATTCAACTAGGGGTAAATGCTTCTCCCGTGACCTTTTAAAATCTAATGCGCAAGCCCTCAACATATCTTCTAGAATCTGGATAACACGTTCGGATTGCTCGTCGGTCTGCAGGTTGTATGCTGTACTAAAGTTTAGTTGAGTACCCAAGGCACTTTGAAGACTCTGCCACAACTTGGCTGTAAAACGAGGGTCCCTATCAGATACTATACTAACTGGTACTCCATGGAGGTGGACAATCTCACGAACATAAAGTTCAGCTAAAAATTCTATGGAGTCCCCTATACTAATGGCGAGGAAATGAGCCGACTTAGTAAGTCTGTCAACAATCACCCACACTGCATCGTTACTTCTCTGAGTCCTAGGGAGACCAAAAACAAAATCCATGTTGATGTATTCCCACTTCCATTCGACAACTGGGAGGGGTTGCAATAGTCCAACTGGTCTTTAGTATTCCGCCTTAACTTGTTGACATGTTAAACACTTGGACACAAAACAGGCTACGTCCTTCTTCATACCCCTCCACCAAAATTGGCGGCTTAGATCATGATACATTTTGGTGCCTCCCAGGTGCACAGTGAGACGGGAATGATGAAAGTCTTTCAAAACTTCATTTCTCATGGATTCAGGTACAAACAACCGGCTGAGATAACGAATACTAGAGTCTGTATGAACATTTAAACCCCTCTCTTCCTTTCCAAGTTAAATTCTCCCTTTAAGGGTTTCCACTTCCGAATCCCCCAGTTGAGCTTCAATTACTCTTGCAACAAGAGTCGGTTGTGCAATAGTGGCAAAGAGGGTTGCTTGTTCCAAAGATTCACCGAGCCGTAGAGAATATTCATTGACATTCCCCATCATCTTTCATTCGTTCATTGCTAAGTTAGCTATTGCACTCACTGACTTTCTACTCAAAGCATCCGCTACTACATTGGCCTTACCGGGGTGATAGTGTATCTCAAAATCATAGTCCTCCAAGAACTCCATCCATCTCCACTGACGCAGGTTTAAGTCCTTCTGGAAAAATAAGTACTTGAGGCTTTTGTGGTCAAAAAAGACTTCAAATTTCTCGCCGTAGAGGTAGCGTCTCCACAACTTCAAAGCGAAAACAACGGCATCAAGTTCTCGATCGTGAGTCAGGTAGTTTCCTTCATGAATCTTCAGTTGGCGTGAGCCATATGCTACTACCCTTCCTTCTTGCATAAGGACACACCCCAATCCCTCCCTAGAGGCATCACAATACACCGTGTAACCTAATCCTCGTTCCGAAATGATAAGGATGGGAGCGGTGGTTAATCTAAACTTCAATTCTTGGAAGGAGTTCTCACATGCTTCGCTCCAAGAAAACTTTATTCCCTTATGGGTCAATCTGGTCAACGGTGATACTAAAAAAGAAAAATTCTTCACAAAACGGCGATAGTACCCAGCCAAGCCCAGAAAGCTTCGAATTTCTGAGGCATTCTTAGGCTGCTCCCAGTTTAGCACAACTTCTATTTTCGAAGAATCCACCATAACTCTGTCCCCCGAAACTACGTGACCCAAGAACTTCACTTTCGTAAGCCAAATTCACATTTTTCATACTTAGCATAAAGTCGATGCTCCCTAAGAAATTGCAAGATTGTACGAAGATGCCCTTCATGCTCTTCTTCGGAAGGTGAATAGATAAGAATATCATCTACAAAGACCACCACAAATGTATCAAGGAACTCTCTAAAGATTCGGTTCATTAGGTCCATGAACGTAGCCAGGGTGTTGGTCAGCTCAAAAGGCATAACCAAGAACTCATAATGACCATATCGGGTACGAAAAGCAATTTTGGGAATGTCCTCTTCTCTAACTTGAATTTGGTGATAACTCGACCTTAAATCTATTTTGGAGAAATAACGAGAGCCCTTAAGTTGGTCAAAGTTGTTATCTATTCTTGGCAAGGGGTATTTATTCTTAACCGTAGCTTGGTTCAATTTTTGATAATCTACGCACAATCTCAAGGACCTATCCTTCTTCTTTGCGAACAATGTCGAGGCTCCCCAAGGTGACATGCTAGGGTGTATAAAGCCTTACTAAGTAACTCCTACAACTGTTCTTTCAGAACCACTAATTCAGCTGGGGCAAACCTATACGGTGACAATGAGATATGTGCCATACCCAGAAGCAAATCTATCGTGAACTCTACCTCCCTATGAGGTGGTAACTCTGTGAGATCTTTAGGAAAGACGTCGAGGTATTCACGCTCTACTTTTGGGAATTCATCCCGAATTACATCACTTCCATCCTCTCAAAGGCTTGCTAAAAGGAAATTAAATTGATCTCAGCCACAAGGATAGTATAAGGACGGTAAGGATCTATCATACCTATCTCCCAAAAACGTAAAACAATCACCACTTACAGTACACACTGTGACCCTCCCCCGATGGCAATCTATTGTTGCCCGGCACGTCAACAACCAATCCATTCCGAGAATAACATCAAAACCCGACATTTCCAACAATACAAAATTAAAAGGAAGTTGGCGACCTGCTACCCCAATTACACACCCCTAACATTCCCAGGTCAGAATGACCTTTCCCCTTACTGGTGATTCTACTGTAAGCGAAACATGTAGTTGTTTACTCTCTAACCCCAGCAATGATGCAAATGACGTGGCAATAAATGAATGTGATTCCCCAGTGTCAATCAACACCTTAGCCCATGTATTGAAGATGAGAAATGTACCTCACACAACCGATGGCCTCATAGCTTGCTCGGAAGCAGTAACTGCATACACCCTTCCTTGCAATCTCCGCTCCCCTACGTCACCCCTCTAGACATAAGTTTGTTGTGTAGATTGAGCAGATGTGGCTCCCTGAACTATCTTGGATGCTTGTCTTGATTGAGCCAGCTGATATGATTGCCTTTGTCCCTGACTCATCTGTGGGACTCCAGACTGCCTAGACCCCTCCGAAGCCCCTACTTTCTGTGGATAAAACTTCTTCAAATGCCCAGGTTGGCCACATTGATAACAAGATTGTTGCTAGTTCCTACTTTGAGGTTGACCCTGTGGATGTACAGGCTGAGACCGTGCTCCACCCATCTATCCACACTCCGCAGCCTTGTGACCCATTTGGCCACACCTATAACATGCACGGGTAACTCGGGCATGTTTCCTGAACTCCCACCCGACGCATGGCTTGAAGATTTAGCTTATTGTGGGGATGATTTCCAAGATGATGATGAACCCCTGGACCTCTTGGAAGAACCCATGTCACTTCTAGTATCAGACTGTCCTGTTCTCTTCGACCTTTGCCATGCTTCCTCGGCCTCTACTGTGATCTCTACATGAGCTGTAGCTTCGACTAAACGATCATAGTCACGGATCATGTTGCCAACCACCTTCATCAAGATTTTTCTTTTCTCAAGTTCAAGGCACTTCCCTTCTTCCGTAGCCACTAATTCGGGTGCAAAATGAGATAGGCTAGTGAATTTGGCCTCAAACTTCGCCACAGGTGCATCTAACTGCAATAACTGTTCGAATTGTTTCCTCAGTCGCTCCCTAGCTGTGGGGAGGGAGGAATTTGTCTTGGAAAGCTTGAATGAATGCCTCCCAGGTATGATTAACCCTATGCTTAACGAATTTCCACCACTATCCGGCCTCGCCCTTCATTTGGTAGGCCGCCAACGCCACTCGCAACTCATTCTCTCGGATGTTTAAGATCTCGAAGGACTTGATTATCTGCTGCAACCACTCATCAGCCTTCATAAGGCTGGTCTCGCCACTATACTCAGCAGGGTTGGAACGAAAGAACTCCTTTTTCAAAAAGGAAGCTCTTGTTTCCCCCTCAATGGTTCTAGCCGCTTGCTCGGCTCTCAATATTTCCATGGACTCCCGTAGAGCCCCCGCCATCTCTCTAGCTAATACCCCATAGGTTCTTGCGCCGGTGGAGCGGGTATATTGTTTTGGCCCACTCCTTCTTCTTGTAGAGGAATCTCAGGTTGGGCTGGGATGTTCCGGCCAACCCGTTGGGGTCTACCCCATGCTCTAGCGCACCCAGACATCTATAAGAAATAGGGACAAGGATTAAAGTCAATAACAATTTTCAACACCTAAGTACCCCAAACTCACTCCTCCTGAAAACTTTATATTGTAACACGTCAAATAATTCAAACAAATACTCAACATGCACATAAAAACACACATGATTTATCCTCCCTAGATGTTAGCTAATTCCATGGCAATCAAGGACCTCCAAGTGGAAAGAACAATGATCAAGTGTCTTTCCAATAGGATTTCGATGAATGTGACAGACAAAGCCGCATCCTTGGAATTTAACCCCATATCTATATAATCACATAGAAACACACAACACACTAGGTTAATCCATATAATCTATCTTAGTCTAAGGACCCTATTGTGACTAACATCACTTCCCACGAGCCCAAAATATTCTGGCTTGTTGCTCTGATACCAATTTGTAACGCCTTGAAAATACACGCTAAGGTACACAACAATAACATGATTAATCAATCCAAAATAAGTCATCTTTCCCATTGAACTAAAAGTTAATCGATTACAATTCAATAAATACATTCCCATATTGTCCAAATCCATTTTTCAGTTCATTGAACTAGATGACATAACAAAATATAAGCCCCTTGGGCATAAAACATCACTAAATACATGAGGCAGTTCTGTTACAAAAGTCCCGAATGTTAAAACTACTAATCTATCCCTGGCTTCATTTTCCCCAAAAAGGCTAATGCCTGATCCGACCCATCAACGAGGTTGTACTTCATCGAGTCCTGAAAAATAAATTAGGGTTGAGCTATATGCCTAGTAGAAATACATTTATCCAGGTATCTAACCCCTTGAAAAAAATTATGGCATCCATGTGATAAAATAACACAATAAAAATCATTTTGCAAGTATATTCCACATTTCACCAAGAACATTTATAATCTAATACAGATAAATTCAAATAGTGTCATCGTGTTAAACAATTAAACATCCACAACCATGAAATCAAATCACATACATTCCACCACATGAGTCCAATTGAGAAGAACCATTTCTTTTGCTCTAAAAAAAAACCCCCACATTTGCCGGCTACTATTCGGCCTGAGGTGGGCACCCTAAAGAAAACTATCCGTTTTCCCACTTTCGCCGACTATTATACGGTAGGACTGTGTGGACACCCAAAAATATTTTCCCACATTCATCTAGCGATAAGCCTAGACAGGGCATTTGGGCACCTTTTTAACTCCCCACGCAAGTACCAACACAACACTACATTTACTCACCCCCGACTCACACTTGGACTCGTACATGTTCAACAATTATACCACATATCAATCCCATAATTAAACATCACACATCATCACATTTAAATATGACACACAATTAAACATCACACATC